CAGGTCAGTGAAAACTAAACATTTTTCTCCAAATTTTTAATCAAGTAACTTCATCCAGCCAACTTATTTTCTCTGAAGTTGTTTTTGTGAATACATATTTGATTAGAAGTTTGCTATTTTGCTCTGAAAATGAAAATGGACACAAATTTTCACTGAAAATATCAGGTGAAAACATGTTCTATAATTTGCTAAAGCATGATGATTAAAATGACTAGAGTCACTTTTAAGACAGTGTGATAATCATTTATGTCTAAATAATTGCAATAAGTCTGTGGAGTTCTGTTTGTAAAGGCTTAAAATTTCCCTTATTCATAACTTTCATGTTGCCAATTTGAAGTTAGATTTTGTGAWTTAAGTATATTAAGAAAAAATAATAATAACTGTATTTAGCATCCACAAGAGCCAGGAATAGAAAGGAAAAAAACTCAGGGATACACTTTTGCTGAAAACCAAAAACATTTGTTCACACTTTCATAGAATCTGAGAGGTCTTGAGGATGAATTCTGTGTCCAGAAAAACTAATTTTTTTTTGGAAAATTATGTGATTATGAATAGTTTGGGGCAGAGATTGGAAAAAGAAAAAGGCTAAGAAAAAATTAAATGGCTTATGTTCTTTTGTAACAACATGGACTTAATTTTGAAAACCTACATCTAGATTATTCAAAATAAGGATTATTTTAAAATTTTGTAAATATGCAGTATTTCTACCAATTAGGCATGAAAATTACAAATTCATCTTATCTGACTGAATTTATGCTATGATAATTGTATCTTCTTATCTGATCCTAATATTTATATCTTGCCAATAGTAAGTTCATGTCATTTTATTCCATTTGTAAAATGTGAGTGAGGAAATATATCTAATCTGGAGTGTAACACAGTATCTATTAAAATACCAATGTAAGGATAATTTATTTGTAAAATACTGTGAACTTTCAGGGAAACATTGTACCATTTACATTCATATCCAAAGATGTGGCAAGCAGAGCATGAAATGGTGGCATAGAGACAGTCACAACAATGGATCATTCTTGTTGAGCTGTAGTAAAGAAAATTCCTTGGCATTTAGGAGAAGAAGAAAAAAAAAACACACTTCATATCTAGCTCAATTTTATGTCCAAATGACAGAGAAAAAACAGCTCAGAAAACATAGCTGGTTTAGATTCAGAGAAACTTGGCACCTTAGTATAGGATACAGTTGATTTTAATAGAATATTATGTTCATGTATCCATAGATGTCCATGAAGATAAAGAAATATAATTATAAAATAATCGTCATTGATGATATTTGAAATCCTCCCAGCAATGAAAGAAAGCCATCTTTGAGATTTTTTAGAGAAAGAAAGAATGTTCAGAAATTAAAAACAAGTCAACATTCATAATAATGCCTTGTTGTTTTGTGGCACCTATAATGTATTGTACTATTTGAAATCTAACCTCCTTCTGTTCTGTACAACTGCCTGTAAAAGAGGTGAGATAAATAAAGACTAACTACATCCATTGCAGAGGGCCACTCTAAAACAATGATGAAGTACTTTAACATGGAATTTGAGCGATCATCCCTCAGACACATCCATGTTTCTTTGTTTGTTTGTTTTTCAGATAAACTATGCCCAAACACAAGCTAAATTGACAGGAAAGATGAACAATGTAACAGAATTCATCTTGCTGGGCCTGACCCAAAATCCACAACTGCAGAAACTCTTATTTACTGTGCTTCTACTGGCCTATTTGATCACACTGGCAGGTAATATGCTCATCTCTGTCACCATCTTCATCAGCCCAGCCCTGGGCTCTCCCATGTACTTCTTTCTGTCTTGTTTGTCCATTATAGATGGTTTCTACTCTTCTTCCATAGCACCCAAAATGATCTTTGACTTGATCTCTGAAAAGAACACCATATCCTTCAGTGGCTGCATGACTCAGCCCTTTACTGAACACTTTTTTGCTGCAGCTGAGATCATCCTGTTAATGGCCATGGCCTATGACCGCTATGTGGCCATCTGTAAGCCCTTGCACTACATGACCATCATGAACCRGCAGGTGTGTGCTTTCCTGGTGGGGGCTGCTGGGGTCTTGGGGTTTATTCATGGAGGGATACAGATTTTGTTTATGGCTCAGTTACCGTTCTGTGGACCTAATGTCATCGACCACTTTATGTGTGATTTAATTCCTCTCCTGGAACTGGCCTGCACAGACACCCGCACTTTGGGGCCCCTGATTGCTGCCAACAGTGGGTCACTGTGTTTGATCATCTTCTCCATGCTGGTGGCTTCCTATGTCATCATCCTGCGTTCCCTGAGGTCTCATAGCTCTGAAGGGCGCCGAAAAGCACTGTCTACCTGTGCCTCTCATGTCACAGTTGTCATCTTATTCTTTGTACCTTGTTCATACCTGTACCTCAGACCTGTGGCCTCCTTCCCTGCTGACAAAGCTGTGACTGTGTTTTGTACCCTAGTGACACCTATGTTAAACCCTTTGATCTACACCTTCAGAAATGAGGAAGTGAAAAAGGTTCTGAAGAAGATCTGGCTTCAGTTGATGAAAGCTGATGAAAAATAACCCTGTGGGTAGTTCCCTAGGCAAGAATATTGAGAGATATTTTATAAAGCTGTATTCTCCTGATTCATTAAATTGTAATGGTCAATTGTCCTGTGTACATCAAAATTTTAATTGGCATGTAATTGTATATATTCATGGGGTACATTGTGATAGTTCAATATATGTAGCAAATCAAGGTACATAGAATTTCCACTATTTTAAACATTATTTTTTTTCTAGTGGGAATCTTTAAACTCTTCTTTTCTAATTCTTCAGAAAATATGGAATAAATTGTGAACTACATTCACCCTCTTGTTCTGTAGAACAYTAAACTGATTTTTCTTATGTAACTTGTTACTCAATATCCAACCTTCCTCTATTATCTTTTCACGTTCTTCCTCAACTCTAGTAACCAGTACTCTACTCTCAACTTCTATGAGATCATATGTTTTAGATTCCGCATGAGTGACACATATGTATGGTAATTGTCTGTCTTTTTTCCATTAAATTGTCTCTTCAGTTGCACCCATGTTGCCACCATTGCAGGATAATATTTTTTATGCCTGAATATTGTTTCATTTGATATACACATGTTATAAACTTATATATACATAATTTAATTGGGTATTCATTAATCCAACTTAAGTTATATTTATATTTGTACCAATGCATTCATAAAATGTGGTTTTCAATAGCTTTGCTATTAAAGAACAGATATGGGCAAGTRTTCACAGAGTYAAATTGTCAGCCTCATTGTGGTGGTACACATACCAATAGCAATATCTGTGACAAATTTCATGCTCTTTACTACAGCAAGAATGAATTTTTATTTTAAAAGAGAAACAGAAAAAGTACATGAAAAATCTGCAGAACAGTAGGAAATATCTTCAAAAGTATATTCATCAAAAACTGCTTTTAATCTTCATAAATCTGAAAGATTCTATTACAGTGATAGAAAACTTTTTACTTAACACAACCATAAAATGAGCACGTTCAAAAAGAACTTATTTTGACAATTTCATCTCTACCATTCCTTCCTGTATACAATGATCTATAAAAGGATGTGGGGAGAGAATTGGCTGGAGCAAAAGAAATAAAACTGATAAATYTTAGAGGGTTAAAACTGAAAATATCTGAACACTGAATTTGAGTTTTGGACATGAACTCTGAAAACAGCTGTTACAGGAAATCACAAGTGTTGTTAAGAGCAACTTGTGTCATGGAACTGAATGGTAATGTTCTCAAATCTGGATTGCTGAAAAGAATGCTAATCATGAATGCAATGTTATACTAAAAGCTTCACAAACCATCAGATGCTTCAAAAGTTCTAAAGTTAGAGCTTTAGAGAAAGAAGCTTCTTTTCATGCTGTTACCTGCATTAATTGCCATTATAACTGTAAGCCAGTTCCTTCACCTCTCTCTCTCACTCTGTATCAGTAAAAGGGACATTATGTCTTTTTTCTTAAATAGTGAGAATCACATTACTTATACTGGAACCATGTCTCAGTTGAAAAATACTAAAACTTGCTCAAACACTGAATGAGCTTCAGGGATGTCACTAGGGCACAAGGGATGCTGGGGGCCAAAGTTCCTGACAGAAGTCAAAGACACCACTAGCATCTGTGACTAGGTATGGCTCAAGGAGGACTAGACATTGTCTCAGCCTCACTTCATCTCAACACCTCAACATGTATCTGAATGTCACTCAGTAATGAGTAAGGACAGTACAAAAGCTGATTGTCATGTTTACATTTGTGCTTAATGGAACTGAGTCCAGGTCTGAAAGGCAGGAAGAGTCCATCCCCAGCTTCCTATTGTGGGATTAAAATACCCAGACATATCTACCTAGTTACAGAAGAGGGAAMGTGTGGGAGTCATTTTGAGATCTTTGGATCAATACTGACCTAAGAACTCATTTATGTTTTGAAAGTAGTAAATTAATTTCTCTTTAAAGCATTTTATTTTACTGAATTGAAAACTAAATCATGTTGATTTATTGTGTTCAGCATGATGTCTTCAAAATATGGATACATTGTGCAAAGGCTTAATTGAGATAATTAACACAGACTTTACCTCACATGATTATCCTTTTTGAGGTAAGAACACTTAAAATCTAATTAGCTAGATTAGCTTAGATTTTATGTAGCTAAAATCTGTCTTAGGTAGAATTTCAGTCTCAATCAGTTTGACTCAAAGCTTTTGTACTTCATTCAACCTCATGGTGAATTCCCTGGATAAAAGTAAACAGGTCAATCTCCTATGTTTGTTTTAAACTTCTTCCATTTTTTTGGAATTGTCTTCTTGAAATCCTTTACCCTTCACTTGTTTTGACTCACTTATGGGTAGATTRCTTTCACACAGAAATGACTGAAAATGCTGAGTCTCCAAAGATTCAGCTAGTGATTTACCATGAATGTTTTGATTCTCATGTTAGAGGTAATGCATTTAAAATTAATTACTTTTTCTGCTTGTTCCAGTTGTATATAAAGTAGCCTTTGGCTTGAAGTGTGGTACTTTCCCCTGATAATAAAAGCAAAAGAAAAAATTGTTAAACGTACTTGACATAAGTATGAATTCATCCTAATATAGTCCATTAAGATAGAAACTTCACTTAATGGGCATGAATTCAGAGAGGTCAAAAAAGTCATATTTAGGTTCCTTGCCAGTGGCCACATAAGAAAGTGTTGTAGGAGCAAAASGTCAAATATAACTTTCCTGTTGTACTCACTGGTAYATTTTCCATAGTTCTTAAGATCTGAGTATTATCACTAGTTTTAGCCTCTTCTATTTTCCCTTTTGTTCAACAACATGTGACAAGAAATAACATTTACCAGGCTCTAATTAATCAGCTAGTATTCATTTTTTATATACCATCCTTTACTCTATTCTAAAGTAGGAGATAAAATACATATACTTGGACAAGGAAACTGAGCATCAGAGAGGTGTATTAGTTTTTGTTGGTTTGTAAGCTAAGCAAAAAAAAAAAAAAAAAAAAAATCCAAGAATGTAGTTTCCATCTCTCAGGCTAGCATAGGTTTAGTCAAGTCTATAGGTGAAGTCAAAGTTATAACAACAAAGCAATAATTAAGAAGGAAAGTAGCCCTACAGACAATGTGTTGGGAAGAAGGTTTTGGAATCAATAGAAGGATTGGCCTGGAATAGTAAGGGAAATATAAATGAGTGCAGAGTCCATAAGTATGTAGGTACATAAGGAATTCCTGGGATGAGGAGCTGGATATCATCAGAAAGACTTTGTCTTGCAGGGGGTAAAATCACCATATTCTTACCAATAATAAGCGATCATTCTGAAGTGTAGCATATCAAATCAACAAATATATGAAATGATGTTCAACATTTCTATTAATTAGAGTAATGCAAAACAAAACTACCTTAAGATTTCACCTCATTCCAGTCAGAATGGCAATTACTAGAAATACAAGCAACAAAAAATGTTGCCAGGTATGTGGGGAAAAATTGCTGGTGGCATGGCAATTTGGTACTCTGTGAAGCAGTATGRAGATTCCACAGAAAACATGGAATGGGGAACCACTATTTGACCCAGCTATCCTACTCCTAGTTTTATACTCAAAGAACTTAAAATCAACACACTATAGTGACACAGCCACGTCAATGTTTATAGCAGCTCAATTCACAATAGTCAAGTTATGGAAACAATCTAGATGCCCTTCAACAGATGAATGAATAAGAAAATGTGGTAATATACATAATGAAATATTACTCAGCCTTAKGGAAGAATAAGGCATTTGCAGGTAAAYGAAGGGAGTTGGAGAATATCATGTTAAGTGAAAAAGCAAATCCCAAAAAACAAAGGCCAAATKCTCTATCTGATTTGTGGATGCTAGTTAACAATAGGGGTGGGGGCTAGGGAAAACTAGAGAAACTTTGATGGGACAAAGGGGACTGAAAGGAGGGGAGGATGTTTGGGGGTAGGAAGGATATTAGAATAAATCGAACACTATAACCCTATGTGTATATATGATTACATGACTGTTGTAACTCTAATCATGTAAAACCAAAAGAATGAGAAGTTATACTTTATTTATGCATGTGTCAAAATGCATTCTACTGCCATTTATACCTAAAAAGAACACATAAAAAGCATAGCATATCTATTTTCATSTTTATATTTCTCTTTTTATTATCCATCCATATATAATTATGTTGTGTTTTAAAAATAGTACATAAAAATAAAAAGTAAGGGTGGAGACGAAGATGGTGATATGGAGGAAGTATGCAATTTTTGTTTGTTCCTAGCTCAGGATTCAAGCATCAGAAATACTGCTTACAAGTGTTGGGGGTGAGAGAGAAATGCACCGAAATTTAATATCAGCATCATAGAGACACAGAAATTCAAGCATTTTGAACATAGGAGAGAAAAGGATTCCCCAAGAATCCAGCCTGTAATGCCACTGTTCCAGTTCACTGCAAAGCAGAGGGGCCACCCAGACAGAACAAGAGCCAGATTCTGCTGAGAACACTTGGCCTTGGGAACGCATAGCCACAGGGATGGTCTGAAATTGAGGGACCCAGAGGCACTGCAGCCATCTGGTGCATGATGGGTGTTCCATGCTTCTCAGCTAGAGAGCTGATGTGGGATGCCATTTTGAAAAGGCTACACAGTGGGTTTTTGCTTTGGGAGCCTGGGGGTCCTTAACAAGCTTTGATGAAGTGTTGCACTAAGATATCTAGAGTGCTCCTCTCAGTGCTCTTCTGAGGTGGGCACAGAAGGCATCGTGCATAGGTTGGACTCAGGCCAGAGGTAGAGAGTGAAGTGAAGCTCTCTGTCCCTTTGGGTTTGATGTCTTGTGGCTAATCTCATGGAGTTAGCCACAAAGAATCTTAAAACTGGGAAAGCAGGCACATTTGCACTTAGAATTTTATCTGGGGAAGTTCTTAGTTGTGGACAGTGGGGTGTGTAATATYAGTGGACAGTTAATCATGTTGCCCTCAACACAGAGTCCACAGGAATCCTCCCACCATCCAGAGACCCAATAGATATT